ATTGAGGTCATTTATGCTAAATTACACAGTTTGCGTCAATCTCGTAATTCTGTCGCAATTTGTAACAAACTGATATTTCATGTTACTTTAGGCTACTTTTAGTGATTTTCACGTTTTTATATAGGTTAAACCCCTATTTTGGTCCCTGAACTATTGTACGGACCCCCGATTTGGTCCCTAAACTAAAGAAATCCCTAATTTGGTCCTAAACTAAAGAAATCCCTAATTTGGTCCTTGAACTATTGTACGGACCCCTGAGTTGGTCCCTAAACTATTGTACGGACTCCCAAATTAGTCCCTAAAATATTGTACGGATACCTAATTTGGTCCCTACTGTTTACCAATTTAACCCCAACTTGGTCCTTCTGTTAAATAATAGCTCAGGGACCAAATTAGGGCGAAATTGTAAACAGTAAGGACCAAATTGGGGGTCCGTACAATAGTTCAAGGACCAACTTAGGCCAAATTATAAACAGTGGGGACCAAATTTGGGGTCCGTACAATAGTTTAAGGACCAAATCAGGGATTTCTTTAGTTCAGGGACCAAATCGGGGGTCCGCACAATAGTTCAGGGACCAAAATGGAGATTTAACCTTTTTTATATTATTTTGGGCTGAACATTCGTTTATTTAAGGCCCAATTCGTGGTTATTATGATTAGGGCTTAAGGTGTTAGTTTCCCTATTATGATTAGAATTACTTTTCCCTATTTAAAGGGGCTTGTAAACCTAATTGTGGAAGCTATTGAATCTGAGTTTTAAGAGACTTTTCTCTTTGGTTCGTTTCAGAACTTTTACAGAACTTATCAAGATTATTCTTGTGGTGTTCTAACCTGACTTATCATTTTCGTTCTTAATCATTCGAGGGTGTGGCGTCAACCAAATTTATACCTCTAGTTCTTATTGCGTCATAGACAACGGGTCAAGGTTTTTTACCTTTGGTTCTTGTTGCGACATAAACAACTTGTCAAGGTCCTATTATAAACCTGATTTAGCTTTCATGGAGTTTAGAAATCCCTTATCGTGCTGTGGGTCTCATTGTTCTCTTTGGGGTTCTCATCAACTATCGTTTCTGATTGCGATGTCAAGTTCTTGAGTTACTTTTGGAAGACATTGTGGGGAAAGCTGGGAACTAAGCTACTATTTTCGACTACTTGTCATCCACAAACTAATGGACAAACAAAAGTGGTTAATAGGACATTGTCAACCTTATTGCGTTCTATTATTCAGAAGAACTTGAAGAACTGGGAAGAGTGTTTGCCGCACGTTGAATTTGCTTATAACCGGAGCATCCATTGAGCAACTAACTGTTCACCATTTGAAGTTGTGTATGGTTTTAATCCACTCACTCCTTTAGATTTATTGCCATTACCTATTGACGAACAAGTTAGTTTGGATGGGAAAAAGAAAGCTGAAGTGGTTAAGCAACTGCATGAGAGGGTGCGACAAAACATAGAGAGACGAACTAAGCAGTATGCATAACAAGCCAACAAAGGACACAAGAAAGTTGTATTTGAACCTGGAGATTGGGTTTGGGTGCATATAAGGAAGGAGCGATTCCCTGCACAAAGGCGTTCTAAGCTGCAACCAAGAGGCGATGGACCATTTCAAGTGATTGTGAGGATTAATGACAACACATACAAGTTGGAGCTTATTAATGTTAGTGCTACTTTTAATGTTTCTGATCTTTCTCCTTTTGATGTAGGTGACGATTTGAGGATAAATCCTTTTGAGGAGAGAGGGAATTGAGATGATGAGAACCCCAAAGAGAACAATAAGACCCACAACACAACAAGGGATTTCTAAACTCCAGGAAAGGTAAATCAGGTTTATAATAGGACCTTGACCCGTTGTTTATGTCGCAACAAGAACCAAAGGTAAAAACCTTGACCCGTCGTCTATGATGCAACAAGAACTAGAGGTATAAAGTTGGTTGACGCCACACTCTCGAACGATTAAGAACGAGAATGATAAGTCAGGTTAGAACGCCACAAGAATAATCTTGATAAATTCTGTAAATTTCTGAAACGAACCAAAGAGAAAAGTCTCTCAAAATCTCAAATTCAATAGCCTCCTCCCCATTAGGGTTACAAGCCTTTTAAATAGAGAAAACAAATCCTAATCAGAATAGGAAATTAACACCCTAAGTCCTAAACCTAATAACCATGAATTGGGCTTCAAATAAGCAAATGTTCAGCCCAAAAATAATACAAAAAAACGTGAAAATCACTAAAAATGACCTAAAATAACACGAAATATCAGTTTGCTACAAATTACGGCAGAATTATGCGATTTTGACGCAAACTGTGTAATTCCGTGCAAATAACCTCAACTAAGCTTCTCTTGAACCTGAATGATGTTTACCTTGTCTTAATAATCATCCAAGCTTCGATTTGCTTGTTGTATGTTGTTTTCCACCCAGATCTACTCAATAAGGCCATTTAAAGGTTCACTCATCTTCTTAGCTCTAGCTCGCGTGACTGGATCTCCTTGGGTGTGTAATGGATCACATGACGTAGTAGATATGCTGTCATCTTGATTCCCATCACAACATCTGATTCATTATCCTCGCCATCATTTGAATTATTGTCATCATCCTCGTCGTTGTCTTCCTCTTCTATCAAAATCCCCTTCCTTTTTCTGTCCACTTAAAGATCTCCCTCATCATCGTCTTCATCCTCCTCCTCGTAGTCACCATCTTCGTCTTCCTTGGCATCAACCTTAGGTTCTTGGTCACCAGTTTTAGATTTGGGAATGGAAGTTCCCAAATTGTTGCTCTTGCTCGTCTGAATTTCTTCATTGTCCTCAATTTCGACTTGGCGCACAATTTTGGGGGCTTTTAGTGGGGAATTGTCATGGTCTTGGCCTTGCGTTTGGTGGGCAATGTAGCTTCTTCAGAGCTCTTGGTTTTTGCCATTGATTCTGATGGGAAATTTTGTTTGGGGAAGGAATCCGTTGGGATTATGACTTTAGAAAAGAAAATTTTGAGGTTTTTGACCCCTATGTTAGGGTTTTTTGTTTTTTGTTTTTTTTTAATGGAAAGAAATGGAGTTTTGATTTGAGATTTTGGAGAGAGTCTTAGTAAAGAACAATTTTGGTATATTCTACATGTTTCATGATGCCAAAAATTAAAATTCATTGTTCCAAGTTTGTTCTCTTTCTGTGCCTCCATGTTCAGAATGAAAACAAAAAGAAGTAAGCATTTACTATTTATGACTGTGGTCCTTCTTTCGTTGTGGTTAAGGGATATAATATAGGATTGCCTTCTTTGGTATCTCTCTTATAAGAGAGGCCATATTACTTTTATTGAGCTACTCCTTATTTTGTCCTTACTCATTTCAAATAGAGCATTGCTACGGGCAATCGCCACCTGGAATCGCCAACGAACACCCGCTTAATGACTTTTCCACGTCACCATCACTTTAGGTGAGTTACTAGAAACTTAGAATAGTTAGTTCCTTTATTTCTTTTTGGAATTGTGCAATCATCTGACGTCCTTCATACTTGTTATCTGGACAACACTCCATCACTTTACGATGCTTCTTAGATATGGAGGAAAAGCTTAAGGTAAATGACATATTTAATTATTTAGTGATTTTTCAAATTATAAGAATTTTATGCAATCATAAAATTTCATTTATTGAACTCATTTAGTTTTTATATGCAGGCGTGCAAGAGCTTCAAGCATGGAACACTTTTGAAAAAAAAGTTCACTTTTGTTTTTAGAGGATATATAATGTCCGCTTGTTGTTAATCTATTTGATGATGAAGTTATGATATGTAAGAATTTTATCTTGTGATTAAGTTATAAAATATTTACCTTTCAAAATTATTTTTGTTAAAAATTAGAATTGCATTTGACTTTTTTTAAAAAAAATTCAACTGCAAGTATATTCCTTTACTTAAAAAATTAAAAAAGATATTAGGAGATATAAATATAGATTTGTTTTTTATGTTTCCTTTTTTGAGGATTTGTTTTTTATGTTTCTTTATGATATAAATTAAGATGCATTAATTATATTTTTTAATAATTTATATAAAAAATATAAGAATTAATTTATTTTTA